GAGAGAGAGAGAGAGAGAGAGAGAGAGAGAGAGAGAGAGAGAGAGAGTGAGAGAGAGAGAGAGAGAGAGAGCGAGAGGGAGAGAGTGAGAGAGAGAGAGAGACACAGAGAAAGCGAGTAAGCGAGTGAGACAGCGTGAGAGGGATGTATACCTCCATGCTGTACTCGTGCGTAAAACCGCATGTGTGCGTAAGAACAAACACATCTGTGTAGACTGCGTTTGCACCTTTTGAGAGATGCGTCCTCCCTTTTGTTTATATCACCTCCAGTGTTGCACAGCGTCTGTTTATACTATCATGGATTGTAGCATCAATCAAAATATAGATTTCCCCCAACATTTAACACCCCAACTGTCATGATGAAGTTGTACTCGATACAATCGACTAATAACTTCTAGTAATGTCTGTTTGAGCAGCTATTGACAGTCTCGCCACATTGACTTCTAATTGATCCCTCCACATCACTCAGGTTGGGAGCTGTCTCCTCACTCACCTGCAAGCCTGAGCGCCGACATCCGCTGGAACTCGGGCTCCTGGAGCCACTTCCACATCCTCCTGAACGTCTCCCGGCCAGACTTGAGTTTACTCCACGGTTTAGGGTTCCGCAGCAGGTCAGACAGAGTTCCCTGGGACCGGCACAAGATCCTCTGAGCAAAGATGGCCTGGGGGATGCTGTAGCGCTTGAGCTCTGCCGTTATTCGCTGTGCCACCTCCTTGGTGTTTATCTCCTCCACCTGCCCTGACCCACCTCCCTGCCCTCCTCCCACCACCGTCTGCCTGTCCCGATCTGACAGCATGGACCCGTTTGCCTGAGAGTGCGGATGGCTGTGATGGTGTAAGCCGTTCAAGGATGTCATGAGCCCGGCCCCGTGGCCCCCGAGACCCCGGGCCAGGTGCTCCTCGCCCCGGGACAGCATGGCTGCGTGGGACTCGAAGCCCCCCGAGGAGATCATCTTGTCATTGGAGAGGTGAGCTCCAGGACCGTAGGCGCTGAGAGTCTGCTGGGAGCTGTGCAAAGACCCGAGACCGTTGGACAACGGGGACAGAGACTGCCCCATGCCGGACATGTCTTTGGGGTAGTGGCCGTAGAGGTTACTCATGGAGGCCAGGCTCCGGTCGTCCCTCATCAGGGTGAAGCTGCCGCTGACGTTCCCGGCCGCGAGTCGCTGGTGCGCTGGATGATGGTGAGCGTGGGCGTGAGCGTGAGCGTGCGGGTGTGGATGGTGAAATTTCTCCGAGACGGTGGATATGGGGGGCAGGTGCTGCAGCGGCGTCAGCGTGGTGTAGGTGCTGCTCAGGCTCATCCCGGAGTCGCACGACATGGTCATTGCCGGATGCAGGGGGCCAGATAAAGCGTGGTCCGTGCGGTAGTCCCCTGCTCCCTCCAGTATCGAGGCCATGCTGGAGACCATGGCTGACCGTCCGTGCGACACCAAGTTCCGATGCGACGCCGACGACTGGCGCGCGTGCGGGGAGTTCATTAAGTCGTTCGTTTGATGGGAGTGAGGCATGCCGTGCAGATTTCCAATGTTTTCCATTGTAAGCTCCATCGTTGAAAGGATCTTTATTTCCACCCCTCTCGCCACTCTCTCGCGCTCTCTCCCTTCGCTTCTCCCCCTCTCTCACCGTCGCTCTATCTCACACTCCTTTCCAATAAATTTTGAACGATCTCAAAGCCAAGCCATTGATTGTAGTTGCCTCTCTGCAGTCAATCCAGCATGGTTTTAAAAGATCGGGTCCCGGCCACCACACAAACTGCGCCGCAAAAAACCTCTGCTTCAGTGCGTGAAGGTGTCTGCGCCTGCCTGGATTTCTTTCGCTGTAGAGCACCTTCTACTATACCCAAAGCCCCGCTTCGCTCTCTGTGTGTATATTGACGTGGCTGCGCTCATGTTAAGATGAGCCCGAGCCTGTGCGCATGTGCGCGCCCCCGCGGTGTGTCCGCGCACTCTTGTCTGGGGCCAACCTGACGTCACTGGCCCCGATGTCATGGGGGTTGTTCATGTTGCGCGCTGGACCTCAAATCCCAGGAAAAAAAAAAAAGATTGCATTAGACACTTGTGAAGATAAAACACAGAAGTGCAGTGTGTGCAACATTTACACTCAGATGGATAAGATGGACTCGCGCCTTGTTTTCTCTGATAAAAGCGTTTGACACGGCGCCAGCAGCACACGTGATTCCTCTGTTGAAGGTTAAATATTAATTGACGTGTCACATCGGGCCACGAGTGTAATGAGAAAACCACAAGTTATCTCGAAGAGGTCACAGCTCTCAGCCTCCGCCGTGTATCTTTATTCATTAAATTGAAGATGCCTCACGTCTTGATGCAATTGTTGAAATAATTGCCGTATGTGCAATGATGTAAATGGAAAATTCTTTAAGAGATTGAGATTCACAGCTCCAGACTGTGTGGATGACCTCTGACACGTTTTAAATAATAACCACCCTGCTTATGAAATTCCATTTGCGTCTCTCTTTAATCTGAAAAGTATACGATCAAATCTTTCTGACGGGATATCGCCGTTAACTTTCACTCATAACTTCTTCTGAGTGTTTTTTAAATTTTTTTATTCCTTCATCAAATGTTACTGAAGAAATCTGTCGAGATCATCTCCTCGAGGCTTTGACCCCTTAACATCTTTGCTCCTCGGATTCAGGCCACGATACAAAAACTCACAGAAACTCTCCCATAATGTTTCGCGTCTCACAAAACTTCTATATCAAACTTGCTGCTCGCTGACGTCAATCCAGGTCAGCAATCCATCAATGTCAAAGTATGTATGGATCAGAAGATGCATCGATAGGCTGGTACCTATTGCAGTAGCCCGCAATATGGATGCGATATACAGCAGCAGGTTGAGATCGAGGGATTGGATTCTGTAAAGGGCTGTCGAGTAAGTCACGCGTTTTGGGTGAAAGCTGAGCGTAAATATAGCTTCATTTATCGGTATTGCTTCCTGTGATGGGGTGGATGCAATGTCACGAGCACATGCACAGTCCATGGCAATATAGCCAATATTAAATTAGTTAAAAGTGACAAGGCTGCAATACAGCTTCTAATTTAGTGGACTAGTTTGATATTGCATCTAATTTGCTTTATGGTGTTTCTTGCTATTGTGTCCCCATATGGCCTAAAATAAATTACAACTATCTTACACAGCCTATAGCCTCACAAACATAAGGTATTTACTGCAGCGTTGTATCTGTAATTGTCCAGCACGTGCAGCTGTCTTATAGGGTGAGATCTACTGAGATGTGTAACACATGAGAGTGCTATAAAACTGTAGTCACAACATCAACACCTCTGTGACGTGTTTTAGATATGTTTGAACACAAGTGTGTCTCTTCAAGTGTGGCTTGTGTGTGTGTGTGTGTGTGTGTGTGTGTGTGTGTGTGTGTGTGTGTAACCACAGCAGCCCTCAGTAGGCCTTAAGTTGCTCTGTGAACTATATGCAAACACCTGGCATTTACACCGATGTTATGTAAAATGAGGCCATTAGGATTTCGACCCGGAGCTGCAAGGAGGGGGGAAAAATAAGTCCACGAATCCAGGAAGTGGCATCACTAATCATGTGCAAATTGCATAAAATAATTTCCCTGACCAGTGTTTACCAACAGTTAGGTCAAGGCCATCCATAACTCTACTGATGAATTGTGATATCAGCGGCCTTGGCACACGGCTTCTCTCTGTACCCCCTCCAAATAATGAGCCTAAAAACTGTGTCTTTGCTGATTGCCAACGGGGGATGGTGGCTTTTGGCTTGTGCCATCAGGAGAACAGCAGTGTCCGCTTGGGTTAATGTCCCTGTATTGATCCCAGCAACCACTGCTATCGAAAATGAATTACCGAAGCCCGCACAGCAGCGAATCCGTCATCTGTGCTCAGCCAGCCGGCCAGAGCAGCTTATTGGTCGCGGTGGTGATGGATGTTAACTTTCATTGCTGGCTCCTTGCTCCTAATTCACCAGGGTTTACAACCCAAAACAGCGCGCTGAAAAGTTTTATACTTTCACCAAGAACTTGTAAAACTTCCTATACCAGTATTGTTGTTTTATACTCTCTCTGGGCTCCGCTGCACCACGCGAGGTCAAGTTAACACCAAGCAGATGCAACAAAAAAAACAGCTAAAACAGCATGCAGGGTCAACAGGGCGTGGGGAACTGATCAGCCTACTTTTCCCATTTTCAATCAATGTTGTTTTCTTCTATTTTATGCAGCTTGGTCAAATCGTTCATTCAGTCAGCTAAAAGAAAATAAAAAAACAAAGATAGCTAAGTAAACCCAGCTAGTTCCCCCTGCTCAAAAAATAAAATCCATGTGTCCGCCTAGAGCTCAGTTTTAATTTGTATTTTAATGTAGTGTTTTCTGATACGTAAATAAGCATATCCTATGGCGAATACAATATGAAATATTAACTGTGTCGATATCTGCGGTGTGACTGGGGCGATGCCGCAGAGACCCGGTGATTCATTTCATATTAATAACAGCGGGCGAGGCGGTGGCCTCAGCACCACGTTGGCATCGACTTCACACACACACACACACACACACACACACACACGCACACACACACACTGCAGTGATATCTTTTTAGTGTTTTAATTTATTTGTTAATAAGATAAAAGTTAATAATTGCAATAGGACTTTGGTACAACTCGGTGCAATGTGCTTTCAGGCTCACCATCATGCAGTCTTTTATGAGGCCCAGAGCATTTTCTTTTTATCTTTAAGCACTGCTGTCGTTTGCTGATCAACTAATCAATGCTGAACCCGGAGCTTCGCTCAATGCATTTCTGAAGGATCGATGGCGCCCAAAATGCATTCTGCTGAAATGGTTTAAGTTATAGGTGCATCCTGTTGTGTGTTTGACCTGTGTCAACAGGCAGTTTCATTACAGGAAATGACCACATAGCACTCAGCTGGAAAGTTTAAGCTGAGCTTTTCATTTGGCTGAGTGCTGCACACTCTCAGTGCAAAAGACACTTTAAATTCAATCTATATTTACATACGATCTGTAGCCTATTGTAAATGTTTAGTATTAGTAGTAGGCTACAATTATTATAGAAAGGTATGTGTAAATATATAATAATTAAAAAACTTCATGATTTTACAAAAGAACATATTTTTATTCAGCAATTGCCCAATTTATTTGCTCAACCCCCCCAATGCTATTTGTATTTAATTGTATTTATATTAAACACAGTGTGTTAATGAGACGTGTTTCTCCTGGGTCAACTTCTCCCGTGTAAGCGTATGTATTTTCCCAGGAACCACTCGATAGAGACAGACTAATCTTTTCATGACTTCTTGAATGACTCCGTGGCTGATGCATCACGCTTAATGAATTCTAAAGTATATTTACTTGAATCTGGCTATTGGCAAAAGTTAAGCAGCAGTGTTTAGTAATGTCGAATTGATCAGGCCTCAGAGAGAGTCAGCGGGACGGGGCGCTGCTGCTCTCATCCCAACACACACACACACACACACGCACACACACACACACACACACACACAGTGTGGCCTTGTTGGGGGAAAAACTCAACATCTGCCTTGTTTGCATGTGGCTCTACTTTAAGTAACTCTGTGTGTGTGTGTGTGTGTGTGTGTGTGTGTGTGTGTGCGTGTGTGTGTGTGTGTGTGTGTGTGTGTGTGTGTGTGTGTGTGCGTGTTATTTACATGAATAACATTAACACATATGCAGGATTAAGTGTAAAAATACGCTCATAATTCTCATATAAATTGAAACTATTGACCACGTTAAACACTAAAACTCAGCAGGGTGTTTTTTTTCTGTTTCTGTTGGGCGAAATATTGCCGAGTTAATTCTTTTAACCTATGGCTTTGCCTTCAAATGTTTTCTACAAACTTTCAATATAGGCTACAGGCTAAATCAATGTCACCCTGCATTTCGAATGTTACCTGTTTGTCCTGTTAAATCTTTAAACGGCAGCCTACTGTTAAAGCTGCTTGTTTCACAGTCAGGGCTGTATTTTAAAAGGCCTAAATGTTGAAAGGAAGAAAAAAAAAATCACTTGTGTTTGTAAAGCGTTTCTCTGCAGTTTGTTAAGGAATTAGTGTGTTGCCACGGATTATTATTTAGGCTGCATTTGCATTTGAAAGCGCCCAGCAATAGAGGACTGTGGTGATCAATAGCCCTGGTGCCATATCGATCCATCCGCAGTCTGATCGATTGGCAGAAAGAATTGGGCGCACACATCTCTCTGCTCTTGGTTTCACTCAAAATGGAAGTCAATTTATGTAGAAACAGGATTTAATACAGCAGTGGCCTGTTCGTGTGCGTGCGTGACGACTCTAAAAATATTTAGGACAACAGGTGCCAAATAAGCCTGGCATGCCCTCCAGAAGACTGCAATCAATAATCGACAGGGTAAGATTTCTCTTGATATATTTATATTTTTAAATAGTTGTAATATAAATCACGTGGAGATATATTTAGAGGATAGTTTAGGAGGGAAACCATCCCAAAAAAGAAACACGTGTCTGTTTAAAAGAAAATATGGAACTGAAAAATGGAGGTTATAAATGTTGCAGCTTTTATTTTGTTAGTTTATTGTGTGCGCTTATTTCCTCTTGGATCTAAATCTAGTTTGCTTGGTTCAATTTGTCGAAGGACAAATGTGTTCAAATAAAGGTTCCCTTCTGTATGTGTCGTGTAATGTATCGAAAAGAAACGCAATTTGAGACAATAACAATTTGGAAAAAAATAAAATGCTTTCGTCATAAAGGTCATTTGAAACACTCTCAGATATATTTTCATTCTGACAAGTTGTTTTCGGAATAACCATCACTCAGGTGTGTTCACATGATGTCACTGCAATCAATAGAG